GGCAGGGTCTCCGCGGGCAGTGGTGGATGTCCCCTTCATCCCACAGGCAAACTGGCACCGGAGGAGATGCCAGCCGGTTTGGGTGCCGGAGATGCTCTGCTGGGGTTGGGGATGTGGCTCCACTTGGCATCTCCAGACTCTCAGGGAGAAATCCCCCTGCTCTGAGCAATTCCCCATTGGCTTGGGGGTTTTTTAGGGTTTTTTGCTCCATTTTAATTAATTCTCAGCCTCTCAGTGGCCATGCTGCTAATGTGCTTTCTGCTGCGAGTCTCCGGCGTGATGACAAGCCGTTGCTCATTGTGGCTAATTGAGGCGCTTGATTAATCCTGATTTTCTTCATCCGAAAGACTGGTTGTTGAAGCTGGCTTTCACGGGGAACAGTTGCTGATGGTTTGAGACAGCAAGTGCCTCCAAGGCTGAGCCAGGGATCAGGGATCTGTGTTGGACCAGGGCGGGGGGGTTATTTGCTGTAGCATGGGATGGGATGGGACGGGATGGGATCAGATGGGTTGGGATGGATGGTGAGTTGGATTGGATGGGATGAATGGAATGCATGGGATGCATAGGATAGCTGGGATGGGATTGATGGATAGGATGGATGGGATGCATGGGATGGGATGGGTTGGGATGGGATGGATAAGATGTATAAGATGGATGGAATGCATGGAATGCGTAGGATGGATGAGAAGGGATGAGGTTGATGGATAGGATGAATGGGATGGGATGCATAGGATAAATGGGATGGGATAGGATGGATGGAATAAATAGGATGGATAGGGTGGTTTGGGAGGGCATTGATGGATGGGATGCACAGGGGGATGGGATGGACGGGACAGCAGGCTCCCCCGTGCAGGCTCCCCCATTCAGGCTTCACCCCAGACACAGAGCTGGGTTATTCAGGCATGGCATGGGGCTGTGGGGCCGCTTCACTTCCCCCTCTGCTTTCAGATGGATTTGCTCCAACCTGCAACCTAACTTCTTCCCAAGGCAGTGTGGCTGGGCTCTGCCCTTGGATCCCACCACTCCCCTGCACCCGTTCCTCCTGCAGCCCCGTGCCAATGGCCATTACCCCATGTCTCTTCTTCTCTTGATTTCTTCTCGTGGCTTAACTTAGGCTAAAAGTTGTTATTCTGCATGGTTCAGTCCAAATCCCATCTCTCTGTGCCACACAGCAGTCCCAGCCCTGTTCCCATGGGTTTGGAGCAGCTCTCAGCCTGGTGTCCTCAGAGCACAGCCTTTCTCCAGGGCCTGAGCTTCTGGTCTTCTCCACCACCCCTCTGTGCCTCAGTTTCCCCATTAGACTTGCTCTGAGGGAGCTGGTCACCCTGATGTAGAGAGCAAATGCTCCCTGGTGCGACACTGAGCAGGGCCAGGCAGGACTTAGCCCATTTCCCAGGTAAACTGAGGCACGGGCAAAGCAGTGCACAGCACCCAGGCAGTGCAAGATCAGCCCTTCCCTGGCCATCACTGGTGACCTCAGCCTCACGGGAATGAATGGCTGGGTCATGTTGGGGTTGCAGCCCTGTGCCTCAGTTTCCCCTCCACGGCAAGCGCCTCCTTGGGCACCGCTGCTGTCCCTGGTGCACATTCCCCCCCACCAGGGACACTGCTGGCACCTCCTTAGCCCATCCCACGAGTGCCAACACCCCATGTCCTCCCCACCAAGGGGACTCCAGGGTCCTGGGTTGTTTCAAGGTCGTTTGCAAGGTCAGGCTGGGTGGATTCAGAGCGGCACAAGGTCAAGGTTAATGGGATCACCCTGGCTCCCTTCTGTGGGGACACTGAAATGGGTTTGGAGCAATTCCCAAGGGGATGGAGCAATTCCCCATGGGAATAAAGCAGGAAGGCATCGCTCCGGAGCCAGCCTCTGATGGGCAAGACCAGGAATTGAGCTGCTTCGACTTCCTCAGCTCTCCCTCAGCATGGAAATGTTTCCTCACTGGGAGGCGAGAGAAAGAAAAAAAAAATCTCATCTCAGCATTTATAGATGCAAATAATAGATGTAATCTTGTGTTAATGTTAATAGATGTAATATTGTGTTAAACGAGCGTGCTTGTGGGGAAATTTGAAATTTGTGATGTTTGCTGGAAAAAAAAACCCTATCAAAATTCTTCTGGGGGTAACGCGGGTCCTTGCTCGGGGACATCAGAGCCAGCGAGAGCCAAATCCACCCAAACCCCACAGTTTGGGGAGCCAATGGGCCCAGTGGTGGCTTGGGGCTTTGCCATAGCAGTGTAAATCAGGAGGAGCCCAGGGTAGTGATGGAGCATCCCTCTCCGTGGGGGACACCCACCACCCTGGGTTTCAGCATTCCCGGCATCTCAGAGCACTGCAAAGGTTTGGGGGTGTCTCCTCGTGCCGTGCCTCAGTTCCCCTTCCTTATGGTGGAGCTGGGTTTAATCTGCCTTGTGCAAAGGGCACTTTGCAACCCTTGGGCTACATTTAGGGGATGATTATTTACTACTCCTACTCCTATTATTATTATTATTATTATTATCCCCTCTACTGTTTTATTTTATAGCTGTTAGCCACCCTGAGGCTGCATTTCCCAGCCCTCCTTGTACAGAGCCCCCCAGGCATAGATGGAGCCAGGAGCATGGATCTGGGGTGCAGAGCTTGGACAAGACCTCACCATACAGGTGCTGGGGTCTCCCGGGGGTGCTGGGGATGGGTGCAATGGGTGAACCTGCACCCAGGGGTGCAGCCCTCCCCGGGGCCGTATCCAGCCCATGGAGCAGGTTGCCGGCAGCGAGCTCCTGGGGCACAGCGTCTAGACAAGCACATCCAGCTGGGGCTGCCGCCACGTTCCCATGGCAACGCTGCCGGATGCAGCAAAATGAAATAAATAACTGGGAATGGGGGGAAAAAAAACAGGCGAGAGGAAGGAAAGCCCATTGGATGGGTGGTGGGTGCTGGGTGGGTGATGAGGAACTGTGGCAGGGAACCCTGTACACCCCAAGTCTCTGCTTGTGCCCCCAGTGCCTGCAGCCGCATCCTGGGGATCTGAGATGCTTGAGCCACATGCAGGAGCTCCTAAATCCAGTGATGCCGGAGTTGGGGGGTAGAAAGGGGCTGCGCAGAGGCCAGGAGCCCCCCAAAAAAACCTGCTGGCATCAATGGGGGGTTGCAACAGCTGGGGAATGACCCAATTTGTGCCTCTTTCACCTCACTTTTTGCTCCTGCCATGTTTTGCAGTGGGGCTTCTTGGTCCCAGAGCATCTTCTCAACCAGGGGCCACATCCTGCTCCTCACCACCCGATACCGGAGAGCGATCAAGGCTCCGGCGCCTTTAATTTCATTTCCTCTGTGATTTCACGAAGGCTTTTGCAAGTTGGAAGTAGGTCAAGAACTTGTTTCCAAGTCATTATATGAAGTCCCTGGGTTCACAGCGGTGTTTGCACTTTCTTAATAGTCAATTCGCTCGCTTGCCGTTCATTTAAATTGCAGCCAATTTCCCTAAGTGGAAATGGGCGGCTCACGGGGACCGTACGATGAAAACGCCTCCGACAGCTCCTTGGACTCCACGCGAGCAGGGCGAAGGCGCTGGCAGAGTGAAAACCAGCAAAAAGCCTTAAATTGCCTCAAAAAGAGAGGTTGTGGGGGGTGGGTGAGCCTGCAAGAGGGTGCTTGGGTGCTGTGGGGGCTCGGGGTGGGGATGTGGGGCCCTGCAGCATCCTTTGGTCATGAGTGGGGCTGGGAGTTGGGCTTTGCTTTCCCTCCTGGGGATGGGGCAGGATCTGGCCAGACCCCGGGAGCCCTGTGTGCTTCGTTAGCCCCACCTATGCTCCATCTGCTCTGGGAAACATCCCTTATGGGGACCGACAGCATCGGGCATCCCGCTACTGGGCCGGATCCTCCCCTGCAGCTCTGCTCGGGGTGTGTTTTTTCCCTAAACCCCAATATTTTTGTGGCCCAAACTCCTAGAAATGGGGCATTTCTGCCCCAAAGAGCCAGGACAAGCTCAGCGGCAGGGGAGTGATGCTCTTGCAGCATCTTTGAATGCAGGACAGAGGGGAATTTGAGGTGGAATAAACCCCCAAATCTCTTCAAAATGCAGCGAAATGAAAAGCTAAATCCCTGGTGAGCCCCAGGCATATGGTGTGCGGGAGGAAATCACCCGGCTGAAGGATAATAACCCATCGGGGGGCACCGGAGCCCCGCTCCGCTCCTGCCACGCTGCAGCACGGAGGGGAGAGCAGAGTTTCTTGCAGCCCGACGCGCAGATGCTGCTGCTGAGATCAAGGGCAGCAGGCAGCCGGGAGGAGCATCCTGCCTGCGCTGCCCGCTCCGGCCTCCCCGACACCGAAAAAACAATGCGGCTGGGTTGTCAGGGCTCTTCAGTCTTTAGGGAGAATATTTTCAGGGAAGGAACATCCTTTTTTTTTTTTCTGGGATGGAACCTCTTCCTGTCTATTTTTTTTCCCTTTCTGGGAAAAATGAGGGGGGGAATATCTGCCTGCATGGCTTGGTGAAGACCCTTGGAAGGACAACGGGCAGGTTTGCTCCTGCCTGAAAATGGCAGAGCCACATACCTGGGGAGCTGGCAGCAGAAAAGCTGCAGTTTTGATGATGGGGGGAAAAAAATCCATTAAAAATCCCCGAAAAATCCCATTTTCCCCAACCTCTGCCCCTGGGGGGAGCTTCTGGCTCCTGGTGCATCAAACCCCACCAAAACGTGGAGCAAGACCCCAGGCGCTCGGGGATGCCGGGTACACCACTTTGGTGGTTGAGAATCCTCCTGTTGTGGGGTGTCCCGTTTGGGGGTTCACCCCTCTGCCCCCTCCCTGCCCATAGCCAGGTACCCTGGGGGCTTCTGGGGTCCTGTGTCCTGGCTGGCAGTGGGTGCTGGGCCCGGATGCTTCCTGCTCTGTGGAAGGTGAGTACAGGCAGGTGAGTACAGGCAGGTGAGTGCAGGCAGGTGAGTGCACGCAGGCTGTGCATACAGGCAGGTG